AGGTGTTTTTGGCACTCTGCCCAAAAATGTTGCCAAACCATGTTCTTTGTTTGTCATTCAACTTGTGGACAAAGCCAGGAAGATGAATGTGGATAAATCCATTAAGAGAAGTTCCAAAATTTGAAAAATCAGCGTGCCATGGAGATTGGATGAGCTTCTGTTGTTTTAGCATTCATTCATCTGCAAAAATGTGTGCGCAAGGGTCTGTAACCAGTTTTTGCCACATCTTCGTTTTGTCTGGGTTCTTTCATTTCAATGCTCTGCCTTTTTGTGGCTGATTATTATCAGAGGTTTCTTCAGCCTTGGCTTCTCACCTAAGCCAAAGCTATGGACAAGTGGTGCAAATGCTGATGTGTTCACTAGTAGCTGGGACTGAGCCTGCTTGGTTTGTTTATTTCATGTGAGGGATCAAACACCCACAGCTTAGTAACTTTGCAGATGCTGCCAGCATCTTTTTCACTTTCCAGTCCCATAGTTGCTGAGGGAAGTAGAACTAAATCCTAAGTCATACACCTTGCCAAGGATAGAAGTTCCAAAAGTAGTGCTGTTTTTGCTGAGGCCTGACCTGGTGCTTCCTTTGACTTGAAGGTAATTGGTTCCACTTTCACTGCTTCTAAGAAGTCCATGTTTACAAACAAATTTTAAATCTAAAAATGGGGTTTGCAAACAAATACCCTAAATTTATGAAAGCAAGTAGCAATGAGCTTGAGTTATTGAGCTTGATGTGAGGGGCAAGAATGTTGCTGACTAATGGGATCAGATTGTCAGAGGATGAATGTTCATTGCATTCTGTAATGGAGCTGAGGTGTGTTAGGTTTGGACAGTCAAAAATCAAGGGACCCAAAAATTACGATTCTCTTTGGGAAATCCTGGACTTTGACTTTAATCATCATGAAGGGGCTTTTAGCACCAGTTCATTCTCCTGCTACTTACCCAGAAACCACCAATAATAGGAGCACAAACATAAATGCCTGATGTCAGCTGCAGACTATCTGCTTCTGATAACAGAAAGCATTGAAACGTCCATTTATATCTTCAGAATAGTGGATGCTCTTCAGCTCCTGCTTGATCTGCTTTTAGAATGAGATCACCTCTGTCTTTGTGCACCCATGTAACTCTGGGTGGCTTGCACATGAGGCTAAAATCTATTCACAGCACTGTTTATTGCCCAGTAATAATCAATCCAACTTCCCTAAATAGATTTCTTTTTACCTGTAATGGAACCTGAGTGCTAGGCTCATAGAGTAAACAGCTACAGCAGTAATTCACTGAGGCACAAATTGCCCTCAACCATATGTTCTATTGCTCACACAATCTTCTTCTAAATGAACATGCAATACAAGGTATTGGAGGCATCACAGGTGCCTTTCTCTTTCTGTCTTCACTTTTTGGGAAGAGAAGGTAATAAATGAAAGCAGTATTCAGGAACAGTGACTAATCAGTTATTGACTATATCATGCTGAGTGAATGTATTTTCACAGGTATCTTAGTGTTTTGATTTTAAAAAATGCTGTTAATGGTCAGTGATTTTGTGTGTATGTGAGTGAAATAGCTTTGAACTTTTATTGCTAAGAGGCAGCTATGCTCTGCACAATGTGAGGATAGACCTCCTAGGTTTTGAAAGTTGTATATAGTAGAGTTATCTAGTCTCTCTCTACTGTGTCTCTGTCTGTGTCTAGTAGGAACCTACAGTACTTAGGCAGTCATGCCTTGTAGAACTGGCCACCTGCAACCACTCATCTCTTCCTTGAGTCAGGATACACTCTTTCCCTCCATCTTAGCTCTCGAGGAAGTTTTGGGAATCATGTAAATAAACTTCTCCATATGTATTGAATGAGCCCAACTTAGAACCCTGAGCATGCCAAGAGGCATAAAAAATATGCCATCCTCAGTTTTATTTGGTGTATAGATACATAGTGAAATTTTGCTTTTACCTACTTTCATTTTGTTTCTTTCGCCTCTTCCTTTCTTTATCTTGATCCAGCATCTTCTGTTTTTACACAACTCATAATTAACCCACGGAATTCATTCTGCTAGATATCCTGAAAGCTAGGATCTTAGCTAGGATTTTTTTAAATGAATTAGATGTTTATGGGAATAATTTAAAATGTGTGTAAAAATAAAAAATCACATAGGGTATGCTCATGCGTCACGTTATAAGCCAGCTGACAAGGGTTAGAAAGAAACTGTTTTTTCCTTGCATGTTTCTAATTTATGGGATTCTTCTGCCTTCCCCAGAAGCATATTCTACTAATCACTATAAGAGATAGCATAGTCAATTGGATGGATTACTAGTCTTCTCTATTATGTTATTTCCCCTGTTCTGCTTTTTCCTACTGTCTTGCTGATGATGCAGTCCATCACTGATCTTCCAGTGACCTTTCTGTATCATTCTGCCATATTTGTTTTCCTCTCTGTTAAAATCACCCCTTAAAATAAATTATTTTTTACCCTCTTCATTTCTTTTTATTTAAGTATCAGTCTCATGACTGAATATTTAAATAAATTCAAAAATTGTCCCAAACCACTGTGACTATTCAATATGCACTCTGTCATTTGGCAGTATTTAATTCTAGAAAGCATTCTGAAATGCATCTCCCATGAAAGACAATTTTATGGAACACCATTATATTTGATTTTAGGCACAGAAAGGTGTGCTTTCAGTCCCCATGGTACCTGACTTTGGTTTTGTTTCCTCCTCTCAAAGATTGTACTGACTCATTTGCATTCTTTCTGTATATATGCCAGCCTTCTATCATTAGTCTTCTTAGCAGACTGGAATTATTTGCACAATTAACAGAGTGCTGAATCTTTTTTCTTGAGGCTTTACTCTCATGTTCTGGCTGTCTTTGTTGTGTGTGAGATCTGTTTTTTTTCACAAGCCAACTCGGCCCTTCTTCCTCCTGTACCACCAAATCAAAATAAATGTTCACATCTGGCATAGGCAGTCAACAGTTCATACGTGGAAACTATTCAAGTTTCCTATGTCATATCTAAGCCACGTTATCATCCTTGTCTTCTGCATTTTTGCTGCATTTTCAGTTCAGATCACCTTGCAACGTTGGTAAGTTTCAGACCTGCTTGCTGGTTTAAGTTAAACCAGACTCTCCCAGCATCCTGGCATGCTCTCTGGGCTGGGCGGGGCTCTCTACTCCACAGCAGAGCTGGCCCCTCCCCTCTGCTCCCAGGCTGCAGCTCCAGCAGAAACTGCAGACTCTGCTTGGCTTCCTCCTGTTTCCCTCTCCCCTTACCACTCCCTGCTAAGGAAGAATTCCCCCTCCTCTCTGCTTTACACAGACACCTCTTAGCATTAGGTAGCAGACCACATGCTGGCTGTGATCCATGCTGTGGCAGAATCAAATGCAGAATCAACAGGTAATGTCCCTCTGTTGTTTTCTTAATGGGGTGATGAACACTGTGTTATCAATTCCCTGCTGGACTGGTCAGGAGTGGGGAAACACTCCCTAATCAGTGTCCTGCTGGGGCCTGGCCATGCCCCCCTCAGCTCACTACTGAGGAAGGGAAGGGAGGGCTGCTCTAGTGCCCCCCCCCCGGCTTCTAGCCTGAGTCAGGCAGGCATAATTTTGTAGTAGGGTCGGAAGGGACCTGAGCAGATCATCAAGTCCGACCCTCTGCCATGGCAGGAAAGAGTACTGGGGTCAAATGACTCCAGCAAGGTGTTCGTCTAGCCTCCTCTTAAAGACCCCCAGGGTAGGAGCCAGCACCACTTCTCTTGGAAATTGGTTCCAGATCCTAGCCGCCCTGACAGTGAAGTAGCGTCTCCTGATGTCTAGCCTGAATCTACCCTCTGCCAGCTTGTGACCGTTATTTCTAGTCACTCCTGGTAGTGCTTGGGGGAACAGGGACTCCCCCAGTGCCTGCTGGTCCCCTCTGACTAGTTTGTAACAGGCCACCAGGTCCTCCCTCAGCCTTCTCTTAT